CCAATTAATCCGCCCAGATCTAAATGAGGATCCCAGGTGGAATATTTGCCCACTTTTTTCTGTGTCTCTGCGCAAATATTGCCCTTTGTCGGTGCGCTCAAAGAAGGAGCGACACCCCAAATGCACAAATTGTCTGGGCAGCGATCCCGGATCATCCTTTGATCGATAATTTGGGCAAACTTGTAGAGATTATTGAGGAAAAGGAGAGGGGCAGGCTAGCGGAGATTGTTGAGGAAAAGGAGAGGGCAGGCTAGCAGAGATTGTTGAGGAAGAGGAGAGGGCGGGATAGTTAGAGATTGTTGAGGAAAAGGAGAGGGGCAGGCTGTGTAAGTAGAGATTGTTGAGGAAAAGGAGAGGGCAGGCTGAGAGAGATTGTTGAGGAAGAGGAGAGGGCGGGCTAGCCGGGAATCTTCTGGCACAGTCATGGCGGGCTAGCCGGATTTTTCAGGATTTCAAGGCAACCCAAGCATCAAGGTTTCCGCAATGGCATCTCAGGGAACCTGTTCCTCAATCTACCTCCAATTTGCTTTGCAAAAATCCATTTTGGGCACGCCACGCGGCACACAGTCCACCCCTCCGCATCCCACGCACTTCTTGCTTCAGATTTTGTGATGTGTGCGTTTCTCTCTCTTTCTGTTCTCTCTCTTTCTTCTCTCTCTCTCTCTCTTCCACTGTGCGCGGGGCGGCAGGAGACTGAGATAGGCGAGAGCAAATTTCACTTTTCCCCTGTAGCCCTTTGATTTTCGGAGGGGCGCTTATGTATTGTTAAACTAAAATTTTCTTTAGTATGCTAGCATGACAAATTCTTTTACTATTTTACTGAAACGGCTGTCCGCGCCCTGTTATAGCCGCGCAAGTTGGAGTGATGCGTAGTGGCACGTTTTGCCCCCGACTGCCACCATTAATGGGACCGGCCCCATCACTATGTCTTCCTCTCTCTCTCTCACGCTCTCTCTCTCTCTCTCTCTCTCTCTCTTTCGCTTTCCCTCGCTCGCTTTCCATGGTTACGCCACGGCAATTCCAGCCCTTAAAGGGAGTGGGAAGCGAAATTTTTACGCAATCCCAGGTGTGGAACGTACCTAAGGGGTTTAGACGTCTTTTCTGAGCTTCAAGCCTAAGCCTCCAGCGTAACCCTACGCCTACTTTTAGCAATTTAGTAGTGTTTTCCATAACAAGCTCTACTTGAAGCGGAAAAATTCTTTAAGAAACCTTCAAAAATCTAAAAACTCGAAATTTGTTCGTGAAATATTCTTTGTATCTTTTAATGGAAATGTGTAAAGTTTTTTGCCAGATTAACCCTCCCCGATAATGCAAAAGCACCGCCTTTTAATAACCCTGAATAGACCAGGCTCCATAAATCGGTCAAAATATGTTCGAATCGGAAATGGGGCCCGGGGGTGGGAACAGATCTTCTTCGGAAACTCAATCCACCCCCGATCCCAGCCTACATTTATGCGGGGCGGAACGTGACGAGTCCGTTTGGAGCCTGATAACGCTCCCCGTCGCCCAGTCCTCACATCCCAAAAATCGCGTTTCCCCCACTTTTTTATATGTTCTCGCTTTTGTAGAAGGAATTCCCTAACGAACTCTGCAAGCCTGCATCGATTCCTGAAGAGTCTCTGTAATCTCGCCTGTAAAATTCTCTACTAATGGCCAGATGCTCGTATCTTTTCGCCCTTTTTTTTTCCTTGATGGTCTCTCACTCTCTCTCTGTCTCTCTCTCCTCTCTCCCTCGCCTCTCTGTCTCCTCTAGCTCGCTCCACCCTCTACTCTCTCGCTCATACATGTCTCGCGCTCTCTCTCTATGTCGTTCTCCTGGCACTCTCTATCTCCCGCTCTCTCTCCCTGTCTCTCTCCCAGTCTCTCCTCTACCTCCATCTCGGCTCTCGCGCCCTCCTCAATATCGCGCACTCTCTGTCCTCCTTTCTGCGCTCTATCTCACTCTCCCTCAGCTCTGCAGCCTATCGCTCCTATCTACACGCTCTCTCTATCGCTTTCTCTCTATCCTCGCTTTCTCCCTCGCTCACCTCTCTAGCTCGCTATCTCACTCTCTCTCTCTGCTATCTCTCTCTCTCCGCTCTCTCGCTCTCTGGCGTCCAATACCTCAAAGAATCCTGCAAGCTTGCCAGCTTCTCACCACTTCCAAACGGCCTCCTCGAGTCTGCCTTCACGCCACAAAGACTCTTGAACGAGTTCTGCCGGCTTTCGCCTAGTTTCCTGCAACTTCCCAAAGAGTCTTTGCTAGCTTTTCCAAGCTTATTCGGCTTCAGATCCTGCTAGTCGAAATCGCACCCTAAAACACCACCCGCCCATCTCGTCACTTCGTTATTGTTTGGAAAGGGGGTATTTCTGGGGAGGGAGGAGCCTAATGGTAGTGTCGGGCATCCCGTTCCAATCGGATTAGCCACCGGGGTTGGAAGTACCCCAGGGCATGTAGACCCATTTCCACAGCCATCGCCCTCGAATTGCCGCCCGTTTTTACACCTCCTTCATAGCCCAAAATGGACCCGGTAGGCTAGCAGGAGATCCTTGAGGAAGCTAAAGTCTGAAACTTTGCCTTCCACCCACTCTCGCCCCGGCTGAAAAGGACAACGGGGTGAGCACTCGCTCATCTTGCTTGTTCCCTCTCTCTCTCCTCTCTCTCCTCCCTCTCTCTCTCTCTCGCCACACGAACACGACAATAGGGGCTAACCGTCGACAAGGGCCGCTCAAGATTTATAGCACCCCCCACCCCAACTCGAACCCACTTCAAGTGTTTCTACTCGTAGAAGTTTTGCCCCGGGCAGGCTAAGCCTAAGCCTATTCCTAAGCTTAAGCCTAAGCCTAAGCCTAAGCCTAAGCCTAAGCCTAAGCCTAAGCCTAAGCCTAAGCCTGACTTAGGCCTAAGCCTAGGCCTCCCCAGCCTAATCCTGAACTAGACCTCACCTAAGCCTGACCTAAGCCTAGGCCTCTGTCTAGGCCTAAGCATAAGCCTAAGCTCAAACCTAAGCCCAAGCCTAAGCCTAAGCCTAAGCTTAAGACTGAACCTAAGCCAGGGCCTAAGCCTGACCCAGCCTAAGCTCAAACCAAAGCATAACCGGACCACTCCTTATCCTCAACAATCTCTGCGAGCCTGCTCATCCAATTTCATGGCCCCTGGGCCATACGGTAATCCGTGAGGCTGCAAAATTGGGGCCCAAAATGTAAACGCCCACACCCTAATCCCATTTTCTGATTCCAGTACGCTTGCTACAAATCAGAAGGAAGCTATTTGCGAGATTGCTGGCTCGTTCTCTCTCTCTCTCTCTCTCTCTCGCTCTCTATCGCTCATTTCCCATTTCTAGGTACCGTCTACGGGTTGGTGCCGTCGCGCCCTCCCGGCCCGGCACATCGCGATGAAGGTGGTGCGGGTCAAGAAGGGTGTGGCAGCCATTGTCTTTCTCTCTCTCGCCCTGCTCGCACTCGGGGCTCTCTCGTTTTTTGCCGGTTCATCAGGAGAAGCCGACGGACATGTGGAGCCACAACGTGTTAGGGATGTTCAGGTAGGTGGAAGAGTTCCTCCTCTCCTCTCTCTCTCTCTCTCTCTCTCTCCTCTCTGCCTCTCGCTAGCTCTCTCGGCCCTTGTCATTGCTCTCTGCGAGCCTGTCCTCTTGCAGCACCGGAACAAATTCCGGCCTGAATCCGAGCTGAAGGAGCAGCTGGAAAGACGTCCCGAGGTCGCGCCAGTCAAGCCACGGACAGAACCGGAAGTCGCGCATGAAGGTATCTCTCTCTCTATCTCTCTCTCTCGCTACCCCTCTCTTTCAGAAATCCACGAACAGGAGAGAAAACTGGAAGAAAAAGAAGAAAATGAGGAGGTGGACGCACTAAGGGCGAAGCTACACCCAGTTGAGGCGACGAAAGCAGCTGCCGATCCGGAGAACGGTAAAATGCTTTCCGGGCAGGCTAGCAGGAAATTTGAGGCAAAATCCCAAGAAGATCGTTCAGCTAATGTTTCCCGAAATGTTTCTGCTAGCCTTCCCTCCTCAAGAAACTCTGCTAGCCTACCTCGATTCCTAAAAAATCATTGCTAGCCTGCCTGGACTTCCCAGCCTCATAACAATCCTAAAAAATAAAGTTTCTCCTCAAAAATCTTTGCTAGTGAGCAATAAATGGTTCTGGTTCGTTAGCGGGGGGGGGGGCTGGCTTGGGTTTAGACTAGGCTTAGGCTGAGGCTTAAGCTTAGGCTTCGGATTCTCAAGCGGCCTATCGGGAAGTCCCGCTAAATTCCTAATAAATTTCTGCTAGCTTGCCTCGAATTCCCAAAGAATCTCTGCTAGCCTACCACCCTGTCCAACACTTCCACAAATTCGATTTTCAGAAAAACGGAAGGAACAAGTGGTGAAGATGATGCTGCACGCGTGGCACGGCTACCGCAATTACACCTGGGGCGAGAATGAGGTTTTCCTCCATAAACCCTGCTAGCCCGCCCTCTTTTTCAGATCAAGCCAATCTCTGGGCAGCCGAACAACCAGGGGATTTTTGGAGGGACCGGCATGGGAGCGACCATTGTCGACGCGGCCGACACCCTGTGGCTGATGGGGCTCAAGGAGGAATACGAGCAGGTAGGCGGCTAGCGGAGATTCTTGAGGAACTTTGTCGACAATCCTTAATACCCAGTTTTAGGCCCGGGACTGGATCCGCGACAATTTCGACATGAAAAGAAGGCGACGGGAACGCTGTCGGTTTTGAGACGACGATCCGGTTCCTTGGAGGCCTGCTGTCCCTTAATGCGTTGACCGGCGAGGCTTTCTACGTGTAGGTTTTAAAGGGCGGGTGAAGGCAAGTCTTCAATGGCCCTTTAAAACCGAAAAAATTAGTAATTTTTAGAGCAAAAGCCAAAGATGTCGGCGACTCGCTTTTGAAGGCTTTTAACACGCCGACCGGGATCCCGAAATCGCAACTATCCGTTCAGACAGGGTAGGCAAGCTAGCACACATTGTTGAGGTAGGAGAGGGCAGGCTAGCAGAGATTGTTGAGGAAGAGGAGAGGGCAGGCTAGCAGAGATTGTTGAGGAAGAGGAGAGGGCAGGCTAGCAGAGATTGTTGAGGAAGAGGAGAGGGTAGGCTAGCAGAGATTGTTGAGGAAGAGGAGAGGGCAGGCTAGCAGATATTGTTGAGGAAAAAGAGAGGGCTGGCTAGGCAAATATTTTTTAGGCTAGCAATCAGCTGTTAGCTAACCTCGGAAATCTCAGGATTCCTAAAATTTTATTGTTTCCAGCGAGAGCCAAAACTTTGGCTGGGCCTCGTCGATGTCGATTCTCTCCGAGATCGGCACGCTGCACCTCGAATTCGCCGAGTTATCCCGGATCACCGGCGACCCAGTCTACCTCCAGAAAGTGCAGAAAGTGCGCGACGTGCTCGACAGGGCGCAGAAGCTCGACGGCCTCTACCCCAACTACATCTCGCCGACGGACGGGCGGTTTAGTGGAAGTAGGTGGCATGCCTCACCGCTTTCAACAATCCCTGCCCGGATCTAGCTGGAGTTTTTCAGGTCACATCTCGCTCGGGGCGCTCGGCGATTCGTTTTACGAGTACTTGATCAAGGCGTGGCTCTACTCGAATTTCCGGGACGACCAGGCGCGTCGGATGTATTGGGCGGTTAGCGAGAAGATACAGGAAAAGTGAGTTTTATATTGGATCCACAATTATCTCTGCTAGCCTACCCTCTCCTCTTCCTCAACAATCTCTGCTAGTCTGCCTTCTCTTCTTCCTCAACAATCTCTGCTAGTCTGCCTTCTTCTTTCCTCAACAATCTCTGCTAGTCTGCCCTCTCCTCTTTCTCAACAATCTCTGCTAGCCTGCCCTCTCCTCTTCCTCAACAATCTCTGCTAGTCTGCCTTCTCTTCTTCCTCAACAATCTCTGCTAGCCTACCTTCTACTCTTCCTCGACAAACTCTGCTAGCCTGCTCTCCTGCGTCATGCTCCCTTTAACACCTGCAGTATCCTCTTCCAGAATGGTCAGTCATTCCCGGTCAAATCTGACGTATCTCGTTGAGTTGCGGAACGGCCGTGCGGAGCATCAGGTGGGTACAGTAGCCTGTCCCAGCCGATTACGACACTTAATTCGCCACCACATAACAATTTATAGATGGGTCACCTGGCCTGTTTTGCGGTTGGAATGTTTGCCTTGGAGGGGCACTACGAGAAGGAGCTGGCCAGGAAGGTGAGAGAGCGAGAGAGAGAGAGAGAGAAAGAGAGGGAGGGAGAGAGAGAGCGATCTAACTAGATTTTTTTCAGGCCCGTGTCCAACACCTTGCTGAAGAGCTCGGGCGAACCTGCCACGAATCGTACATCCGCTCCGAGAGCCACATCGGCCCTGAAATGTTCTATTTTATCGGCCAGGAGGACGCGACCGCCAAGTACGGCTTAAGCAATTCCTCGATAATCTCTGCTAGCTTGCCATCTTCCGGTTGCTGGCAAGCTGGCAGCGATCCTTGAAGAGCCTAAAAAATTGCAGACAAACCGGCGCCAACGGCTACATCTTGCGCCCCGAGGTGATCGAGGGGTGGTTTTATCTATGGCGGCTGACGGGGAAACAGGTAACGCGCACTGAAATTTCTTTCCGCAAAGGATCTCTTCTAGCCTGTCCAGATTTAACTGATTTCTTCCAGATGTACCGCGACTGGGTGTGGGACGCCGTCGAATCGATGGAGAAGTGGTGCAGACGGGAGAAGGGATATGTAGGATTGCAAAATGTCTACAAACCAGAACAGGCAAGCTAGCAGTTATTTTTGAGGAAGAAGAGCGGGCAGGCTAGCAGAGATTTTTGAGGAAGAGGAGAGGACAGGCTAGCAGAGATTGTTGAGGAAAAGGAGAGGGCAGGCTAGCAGAGATTGTTGAGGAAAAGGAGAGGGCAGGCTAGCAGAGATTTTTGAGGAAGAGGAGAGGACAGGCTAGCAGAGATTGTTGAGGAAAAGGAGAGGACAGGCTAGCAGAGATTTTTGAGGAAGAGGAGAGGACAGGCTAGCAGAGATTGTTGAGGAAAAGGAGAGGGCAGGCTAGCAGAGATTGTTGAGGAAAAGGAGAGGGCAGGCTAGCAGAGATTGTTGAGCAAGATGAGAGCACAAGCTAGCAGAGATTGTTGAGCAAGATGAGAGGGCAAGCTAGCAGTAATAATTTGGGAATTCCAGGGCGCCGACGATGTGCAGCAATCCTTTTTCTTGGCCGAGACCCTGAAGTACGCCTATCTGACGTTTACCGAAGATACGGTAATGGCGCTCGACGCTTGGGTCTTTAATACCGAAGCACATCCACTGCCCGTCAACAAGGAGTACCCGATGAAGGAGCAAGCTGCGGCGCCTAGTCTAAGCCAAGCCTGCCTCCAAGCCATGTTTTTCGCCTTATCTTCTCGATTTCCCGGTTCCTCTAACAAGGAGTAGCTTTTAGGTGCTTTTGGACTTTCTTGATGGACCTAGCTTAATTTGATAGAGAAAAATTCTAAACACCATACCCATTTTCAAAAAGTACTGACTCGATAAAGCAATCTTAGACAACTTAATTTAAAAGTCTGCTTTTTTCTAGTTTTCGGGCCCATTCTCGGCTGACGTCGTTTTCGGGGCTGGGCAAGGCGCCATTCATAACATTCCGCCAAGGCCTCCATCACAGTTTGTATTGCGCGTATTGGCAGTGCGCTTGTCTACCAACTTTTTAAGATTTTTTCGCCCGGGTTCGATTCTTCGCGCCGGCTAACCGTTTGCTTTTGGGCCTTGAACCCGTTATCGTCGGTATAAAATTTTAATTCTCAAAAAGCAAAAGTTAACGATAAATAAGAATCGAACTTGAGGCAAAGGTCAAAACTCCGTAGGACACCACGCACTAGCCACTTGGCCATGTCTATGACGGGATCCAGGGGCGCGTGAAGTCCCCATGTGGCAGGGCCGGTCGACCGCCACGCAAATCACCCTTCAAACACCACAAGGGTCCGGGTACCGGGAACGTTCGCACTTAAATTAAATTTTCTAAAACACCTTTATCGATCAGCACTTTTTGAAAACGGGATGTTGCTCAGAATTTTTTTCTCTATCGAACTAGCTAGGTCCCGTCCCGAAACTCCAAAAGCACCTAAAAACGACTCCTTGTAAGACGATTCATAGCCCACCCCCACCCCAGGTTTTTATAGATTCTATGGATTTCTCCCTATCGGGTTTCCCTCAACACCCTTAGACTTTACTTTACTTCCCGCGCCCTTTAGAAGCCAGAAAACCGCCATTATTTTGCGCAGATTCCTACAGTACCCCCTTGTTTCTTGTCATTTTTTAATACCCTGGTCGAAGAAAGGTACGGGTACCGCCCCCCACACAATTTTCCCAGTTTTATGATCTTTTTGTTGCTCTCTCTCTCACTCTCTCACTCTCCCTGTGTCGCTGTTTGCCATCACAATTATCCGCTGTGATATTCAACAAGGAGCTGTATGCCTCCAAGAGTTTTTATTGGGTCCACATTTTAGTACGAATAAATCATAAGCCAAAATGCTGATTCCAATGACAAAAATACTCAAAAAATTCGAATGCACAACACTTGATATTTAAATACAAAAACGCGGCACCATACCGTTCTCCTCAACAATCTCTGCTAGCCTGCCCTCTCCTCTTCCTCAACAATCTCTGCTAGCCTGCCCTCTCCTCTTCCTCAACAATCTCTGCTAGCCTGCCCTCTCCTCTTCCTCAACAATCTCTGCTAGCCTGCCCTCTCCTCTTCCTCAACAATCTCTGCTAGCCTGCCCTCTCCTCTTCCTCAACAATCTCTGCTAGCCTGCCCTCTCCTCTTCCTCAACAATCTCTGCTAGCCTGGCGTGGCCGAGGCCCGGCGTTGCATGATAGTGACTTGGGTCCAGACGCAGGGAAACCTGCTGCACGCACGGAAACTACCCTGGACGCGCGGAAACCATCCTGGACGCTCTCATCTGCCTCAACAAGCGGCTTCGCAAAAGATCAAAAATTTCCATAGGAGCAATTGCATCCCGGGAAGAGAAGGTGCTTAGCATGTGGCGGTCATAAAACTTACTGCAATTTATTGCGTAACTTACTCACTGACTACTACAATGACTACCACGTCGACTTCTATTCAACTGAATGTGGGTGGTTTTTTCTTGCCGTCAAGCCATTGCCTTAAGGCGTTCATTCCGAGACTATGCCTTTTAGACATCAGCCGCTTGCACCGGCGAGTCGAGGAGGCAAAGCTCGAATATGGCAAGGCGTGCGAGCGCGAGGAAGCCCTTGCCGAAGAGTTGGGCCGACAGGTATATCATTTTTTGTGGGCAACCTAGAAAGGAAAAGAAACAACCGCTGCCTAAGCAAAAGCCTAAACCCACGCATAGCAGCCTAACCTAAGGTTCAGCCTAAGCTTAACAAAGGCCTTAGCATTAGCCTAAGCCTACAGGGTGTGCAAAAAAAAAAAGGACACAGTTTGGGTCGAAATAACTCGCGAACAGTAGAGAATCGAAGGTGCGTTACCATGCCAGAATGCTTAAATATGCTGGGCATGAAGATTTAACACAACTTGATTTTTTCGATTTTTGAGTACGCAACTGTACTATTGACGCTGGTTACGACCGAAAATTGTGCGTTCTTGAACGCGTGGTGGGAAAATTCTGATTTTTGGCCTAAAAATAGTATACATTTGTAAAAATGTAATGGAAAAATCTTAGAATTTATCGAGGTCAATTTCATTTTTTAAAAGCAAAACAATTTTCGCGATTTTGCGTTATTTTTGTTCTTTGAATTATAACTCGCTTATAACTCGCTGCCTATGGCTGATATTTTGTCAATGACCTATCCAAATACTAATATCCGATTCCACACCAAATTCCACCACAATCTATGGTATTTTTGTATTGCGTGCTAAAACGTGCCCCAGTGGGGTACTGTAGGTTTCGATTTTCCCGCTTTTCTCGGGGCCCCTAGCTTCGATCCGGCTGAAATTTTCTGGGTAGTTAGGCAATAAGTAGTGGCACCTTACTGCCAAATACGAGAGCGTACTATCCACAAACGTTCATGAAAAAGACTAAAAACTGATTTTTTAATCCTGCGGCAAAATTTTGTAAATTTTTTGGTCAACTGGTCCAAAAACTGCTACTATTGGTTTTACGAAAACATCGAAGCAATTTCATGGCAAAAACACCACGAAAATCGCAAATTTCGGTTTTCTACAGTAACCCACGTGGAGCGCGTTTTAGCATGCCATCACAAAATTCCATAAAGTGACGAATTTTCAGGTCGAGGGCCTTCTAGAGGCGATTGTAAGACAGCCTGTTAAAAATGACTGATTTTGGGTGGTAAATAACAAAGTTACGAGGCCAAGTGCAAAATAGGCCAAGGAGCCGATTGTTGGTCCGAGTAGCCGGGGTCAATTTTCGAATTATTAAAAATAAAAAAACCACCTAAGTCTCTTGGATACGATTATAGCTTTGATGTTATTATTTACGCCTGTCAAATTTCGGAGCAATCTGACTCAAAATTATGGTGACTTTCAGCTCAAAATCGAAGATCACCCTATTCCAAAATCGAAGTTTAAAATTCTTTTAAAAAAATTTTCGACGGAAAAAATTGTCTTAGTCTTTGCATAGTTTTATTCAACTGATAGCACAGACATATTGCTCAAAATATCCCTACGACTCCACCTTCCAAAATTTTTTGACGCAACCTCGAATTCGGTTTATTTCGGGTTTTGATGAATTTTCCTGGCGCCAACCGCTGGTTAAAAAAATTCATGAATAAGGCTTTAGGATGCGCTATTCAAATTATATCAGATAAAAATAAAACGAAAATTTTCACAGCGCGACTAAATTTCATAAAATGGTGACAATATTCGGAAAAAAGCACGAACGAACCGTTTTGGAGGCCCTAAAAGACGCCCTTCCAAAGGAGTACGGTGGCTCGCAATTTCGTAGATGATAGATCAACCCCAGAACTACATAGCTAAGCAAAGAAAATAGCTGAGGCCCCTTTGGCAATCTAGAAATATTTTTCCAAAGTTGGGTTTCGAGACCCGGAAAAATCCATGACCAGGGGGTCGTTGAAAAACTCGAAAATTCGTCGATCTCAAAAAATTCTTTAATATGTTTATGCGATTGTGTCAAGCCCGTAGGTATTCCACAACAACTGATTTTCAGGTTTTCGCCATAGGTTTTTTCAATATTAAAAATTTACGAAATTTCTCCATACAAAATTTCATTCCTCTCTAACTTTTCAACCAGACCCTCAAAAATTTTTAAATTTTGTAGGTACATATCTGCTGCCTATATTAACTTACTTAATAAAAATTAGATGCCAGCCACCACAGGAAACTGAGAAAAATACAAATGAAGTTTCCCCGAACGCACAGTTTTCGGGTGTCATTTGTATGGGTACGTAGCCAAAAATCGAAAAAATCAAGTTGTGTTAAATCTTCATGCCCAGCATATTTAAGCATTCTGGCATGGCAACGCACCTTCGATTCTCTACCGTTCGCGAGTTATTTCGACCCAAACTGTGTCCTTTTTTTTGCACACCCTGTAGCCTAGGCCTTAATCATGGTGCTTATTCAACTTTGCTTTAAGTAGGCTTAGCTCAGCATAGCTTTAGGTTTGAGCCCACAAGCACCGCCTATCTCAGCTACCCAAGAAGCCCGAGTAGGCGCCTTAGGGGGCACGGCTTAGTTTGGTAAGACTCCAGATGGCCTTCCAGCCGGCACCCATTTTGTATCTCGGCTCCCTGTTCATCTGCAGGTGTGTAAAGTATACCAAAATGTTCGTCTTGCTGTGGCGAGTATTTTGGTATACTTTACACACCTGTAGATAGAACAGGGAGCCGAGATACGGCTAGGTGGAAGTCGGCTGGGGGGGGGGGGGGGTTATCTGGAGTTTAGCCCTTAGTTTACTTGGCTTCAGCTAAACCTGCGCTCGGTTGCAATGAAAATGAATGATAATGAAAACTGCTGTCAAGCCAATTTTTTTTTCAGGAGGCAATCTACGACTCGGTGAACAAGTATCTGCACCTCGTCGTCGAGGAAGAAGAGGACGGCCTCCTGGCGGACTGGCAAGTCCAAGACGAAGCGTGGCTGACTCTCGGTGGCGTGGAGACGTGCCCCGAGTCGAAAGTGCCGGTATGCTTGATGTTTTGATTTGGCCTGACTTAAGGGGGGGTACGGGGATCGCTCGTTCCAGCAGTCTCTTCTCGTCGTGACAACCGTTTTTCAGGTGCTGGTGATCTCGGAGCACGCCTACTGGGACCCGCTGCTGAAGTGGTTCGAGCGATCGCTGTGTGCCGGAGAAGCCGCCGCTAGGCGCCTGTACACCGGCGTGAGCACCAAAGAGCTCTCCAAGGTACGATTGTAGTCCGCTTGGCTTCGGTTTCACTTAGGCTTTGACTTGGACTTAGGCTTAGACTTAGGTTCGACTTAGGTTAGGCGTAGGCTTGGGCTTATGCTTAGGCTTAGGCTTAAGCTTAGGCCTAGGCTCAGGTTTAGGAGTAAGGACAGTAACTTGAATTTTGCCAGGAGTTTTCGATCTGCTATAATACTTATTTGCAGCTTCTCACGACGACGCTGAGATCGAACGTCGACGAGGCTTTCCGCCGGCGGAAGGACGCCCGCGATGTGGTTCCTGGAGAAGCGCGGCCGCTACCGGGAGCTGGTGGGTGCTTGTGTGAACTACCTGCCTTCATCAACCTCCATTGTAGTGAGACACGCACGGCCTTTTTCAGCAGACACAGAGCGTAGGACTGACGATGGCCTTCTACGACTCCAAAGAGCAGACGCGCGCAGATTTAAGGCAGCCAACCATGGCCTGACACCTTCGGAAAAACGACGCAACGACGACACGACGACGACGAAACCGCTTTTGTTTGCTTTTCCTCATAATTACCGTGTGAAATAAATTTGCGTACGATACGGTACGATACAGTGACGACAAAATTCACAGAAAGCCGCGTCTAAACAGAGTTTTTGAGCCTGGAAGTTCTGAATCACTTATCATAAAGATTAAGTTTTTATTTTTGCTTAAAGGGGCTCCGAACTGCCAAATCAAAGCCCTTTTGGGAGGGCTCTTTGATTTCTGGCAAAGTGCCAGCGGCGCTGCGAGACAAGAGCCCTCACTCTTTCGATTTTTGCGCGAAGTTGTTTTTGCCCGGTTTCTTTGTGAAAACACTATAATTCGCGCATTCTGAGCCCATTTTTGAAATCCTCACTAAATTTTAAATAGTTTTGGTGTTTTAATCATCAAATTTGGCCCAGAAACAGCCGAGAACGTGATTTCGAGGTGACAACAGGCAATTTCAAATTTTGCGAGCTTCCCGGGCCCTGGGCGTACAGAGGCCTCCGACGTACAGGGCTCCGATTTTCGGGCCGTCACTCAATTTTTGGCATTTCGTAGCCCCTTTAAGCTTGTTTTGTTGAAAAGTCGACAGTTGCTTGGGTGTAGCTTAGGCTTCGACTTAACCTTACAGCATCCTAACCTTACCCTGCCATCATTGTTAAATAAAGATATAACACGACCAATACAGCCAATCAGTTCAAAATCGCGTCCAAGACATCCTGCGAAAATCTTTATATACATAGACGAGTACGAGAGACTACAAAACACACGATATCTACATACGGTAAATACTTGCTGTGCCGATTTTCGCTGTGCCGATTTACACTATGCCGAATTTCAACTATGTCGAATCTTTCGCCCCGAACCCAACTATGCCGAATTTCACTATGTCGACACACATCTTTTCAACTATGCCGAATTCTCACCATGCCGAATTCGCTATATCGTGAATTTTCAATTATACCGAATTTTCGCTATACCGAATTTCGCTATGCCGAATTTTTCTACTCTACCACTAGTAGTCTCTACCAATATTAATAACTAAGATCGATCAGACCCTAGCGGTGCAACAAAAAAACTGCTGCAGCCTACGGGATCGAAGATCCGCTCGGAGTTTTGGAAATTTCTAGGCTAACCTAACTTTCTAGGCCCATGATATTTGGAAAAACAGTCAAAAATGGGGAAGATACCGCTTATCAAAAATAGTATATTGAAGATTCGGCATGGTGAAAATTCGGTATCGTGAAAATCGGCATGGTGAAAATTCAGTATACTAAGCAACCGGCATAAAGGAAATTCGGCATAGTGAAAACTCGGCATAGTGAAAATTCGGCATATAGAAAATTCGGCACATAGTGAAATTCGGCATAAACGTCAATCGGCATAGCAAAATTCCGGCATAGCGAATCGAACACTCTACATACATATACATCGTTGCACAATACGGGGACAAGTCACGGGGCAGGGGGGAGGTCAGTAGTCGTCGGGATCACTCAAAGCTCCATCGTGATGTTCGTCCCTCAGGTTGACGGCGATTGGTAGGGTAGATAGGGCATGAGGTGGAAACTGCCGTACAGCTCGAAGCCGCGGATGCGAGTCGTGTACGAGAGGATGAGGCGATCGGTTGGCCGGAATCGCCAAGAAATAGGTCATTTCTGCCTGCTTCCAAGTTCCTCTCCTTTCCCCCAACAATCTCTGCTAGCCTCAAGTCTCCTCCTCTCCTCAACAATCTCTGCTAGCCTGCCCCCTCCTCTTCCTCGGCAATCTCCCTGCTAGCTCTGTCTCTCCTCTCCTCAAAAATGGCCCTGCTAGCTCAAGCCCCTCTCCTCTTCCTCAACAATCCCTGCTAGGGCTGCCCTCTCCTCTTCTCCTCAAACAATCTCGGCCAGCCTGCTCCCTCCTCTCTTCCTCAACAATCTCTGCTAGCCTGCTCCTCTCCTCTCTTTTCCCTCACCACCCTGCTAGCTTGCTCCTCTCCTCTCCTAAACAATCCCTGCTAGCCTGCCCCTCCTCTCTCCTCAACACCCTGCTAGCCTGTCCTCTCCTCTCTCCCCCACAATCTCTGCTAGCCTGCCCCTCCTGTTCCTCAACACCTCTGCCAGCCTGCCCCTCTCCTCTTCCACAATCTCTTGCTAGCCTGCCACTCCCCCCCTCTTCCTTCAACAAATCTCCTGCTAGGCTGCCCTCTCCTCTTCCTAAACAATTGCCAGCCTGCCCCTCCTCCTCTTCCCTCAACAATCTCTGCTAGGCTGCTCTCCTCTTCCTCAACACCCTGCCAGGCTGCCCTTCCCTCTGCTAAAACAATCCCATAGCCTGCCCTCTCCTCCTTCCTCAACACCCTCTGCTAGCCTGT